GCTGCTGCTACTACTACTACTATTACCACCATTACTGATTACTACTACTCCTTTTTCTTCTGCACTTCTACTGAACTGCTGCTCCTACTACTATTACCACTCCTCCTCCTCCCCTTACGACTCCTGCTACACTTACAACGCCTAGTGCTACTACTACGACGACGGCTACTACTAACTACTGCTTCTACTTCTACTTCTACGTACTACCACCACTACAACCACTAGCACAACAACCACTACCACTACTGCGACCACTACGACCACCATCACCACCACGATCACGACTACTGTATGGCACCAGTGCGGCAAAAAGAAAGACTCAGGCATTCCTGCCCAGTGGGGGTGGGGTTAGCGCAGGCTTCCGAGCCCAGGAAGGCTAGCAAGTACATCGGGCGACGGGGCTTGTGGCTTGTATTTCATGTCTTTGCGGCTGTTGTCCGGGGTCGGCGGGGACGTGGACTTGAGGAGCTTCAAGGCAGACGCCCAGAGCCCAAAGGCAGCTCTCCTTGTTGCGCATGTTCGACAGCAGCTCCTTGGATGTGCCACTGTGCCACACCCTATTTTTTGCCGAACTGCCCTGATAGCCGAGTTGTCGGAAATCGTGACCTCTAGCCACGTCGAATCCACCAGGGCCACGCAAACCAGGGGCCAACAAGTCGACCCCCAAAGATCGCTTTTACCCGAAGCGTCTTCAACCCCGCAACCTATGGCTTGATTTACCTCACAGCTTCCGCACCGCTGCCGCTGTCGCCATTCACAGCAACCACGCGGTCGTGTGGTGAAACGGCCTCGGACATACAGATTGAGATAAATAGCCACAAGAAAAAATAAGAAAGCAAGCACAACGCAACCAATCAACAAACAGTCGCAAGCAAGCGCAAAGAGAGAGAGAGAGAGAGGGACGGGCGGCACACAGGGGGGCACGGCTACGAGTGAAGCAAAACAAGCAGACTGGTAGACACCAGGGAGAAAGGGCGGAGGTCACAAAAACTGCACATTGTACAGGAAGAAGATGCAAAGAACATGATGCTCTCGCCTCTCACTCTCTCTCTCTCTCTCTCTTGCGTCCGAGGGGCCGCGTCGGGATACTCCGTGTTCCACTTCTGGACTTCCCCATCCGTGATGTTGTCCTCAAGAATCTACCAGAACGGCCCCTCCTCCAGGCTGAACCCTGCAACCGGCTCGTGAGATCTGAGCCAAGGGGCGATCCAAAAGCCGAGGCTTCCACGCTTGTACTTGACCTGAGCTCGCACTGCTGGAAGCATCGGGCCCTGCGGCCCTGCGTGGCTAAAAGGTCTGCCGACAAGCACGACGCTTGACGAATTTCCACGCCGCAGCGGACATGCAGCCAAGTGGCGAGGATGCCGAGGTCGGTGCTTTTGGCCAGGTCCTGACAAATATCTATCGCATGAAGAGCACACCGATGTCCGAGGACACACGTGCTGGGGCCGCAACAACCATGCGCTCTTCCGGTCGCATGAAGGCAATCGAGAACCTGGATCTTAGCGGGGATGCTCATCTTTACGGGTTTGAGTTGAGTGGCGCAGGAGCGGCAGGCTTCGGTAGAATCATGAGATGATGAGATCTTGAAAATTACCTTCATGGTCTGCTGTTGCTGTGACCCATGGCGGGCGGCTTTAAGAATTGTCCGCGGCCAGGATAATATTGGAACGGGACATGGGCATAACGTCAGCATAAATGTCTGGCTGGAGAGCGCGCAGCTTGATGCCCTGCAATCTCGGCTTACTGACTGCATTGTCCAGGTGCCACTGCTCATGGACAAAATGCTCCCAAATCGACTTCTGCCAGGCTGCTGATCGTGCTTTTCCTCAGCTTCTGGAACCGGGTGCGTTTTGAAACTGCCTTGCACCGCCTGTTTGAGTTTGCGACATAATGATGCATGTACCTGGTGCCATCTCACCCTGGTGCCGCTCTTCTTCTGATGCATTGGTACCATTACGACAGTGATGATAGCAGTGTTTACAAGCGCCCTTATTATCCTGCTCCCTGTGATTTCAGTAGCAGCAGCAGCAGCAGTAGGAGTAGTGTGGGAGTGGGGAGCGGGGAGGGGGGAGTAGGAGTAGGAGTAGGAGTCGTCGTCGGGTCGGATATAGTAGTAGTCGTCGTCGTGGTAGTGGTAGTAATAGTAGTAATAGTCGTAGTAGTAGTAGTAGTAGTAGTAGTAGTAGCAGTAGTAGTAGGAGGTCTACTAGCACTACTGCTCCTGCTCCTGCTCCCGCCTCTACCCCTACTGCTACTACTAGTGCCAGTACTAGTACCAGCAGTACTACTAGTACTGTCACTAGTATTGGCAAAAAGTTGGCTGATTTGCGTGTGACAACATAGCCTGCAGCCCCTTCCCGCAGCTTGTGCGGTGCCAGAGTGCGATATCAGAACAACAGAACTTCATGCTCTGGAATGCCAGGCGGCGAGCAGGATCTGCGCCAAATCGCGGCTTGACCCCGAGATGCCGTTGACGCGGATGATCCGGTCGAAGGGCCTGATCTGGAGGGACCTCAGTGGATGCTGGAAGGTAGTCTTGATGAAGACACATGACACATATCACGCTTGGATACCTAACACTCCCACGCAATGAGCAGTGAGATAGCCCGCTTGGTGGAAGTGTGGCATTACACCTGAAGGCTCAAATCCTCCAGCCCTAGCTGAACCTCAGAACTCTCATCTCATTGATTCCTGAAGACTTCTAGCCAATCCCATCGAAGGGCGCATCGGAGGAGGAGTTCCAAGCTCCGGCCATCCCTCCCTCAACTTCCTTCACGATGCAGATGTCCTCGTCCTGTCTCGAGCGGCGATGATTCTCTGGCGTTTTGAAGAGCTCTTCTGAAGGGCTCAAGCGCGGCTCAAGCGCATGTAAGAGAGCAACGAGGCATGCAGAACTAGATAGCCAGATCACACACCTACTGCGCAGAGACCGCAAGGCACGGCCGAGAGTGGACTTGCTCTTATACTTGTTGCCGTGGCTGGACCCAACATACAGAACCTTGAGAAAGCCCGCGCCATCACGAATCCGACTTAGACAATGCTTCTCAGGACGCTGATCCTCGTCCCGTGTGCATGTTCTGGATCACAACAAAGAACTATGTGACCCCCAAGCAGTAACTACTCCGAATTGTCACGCAAGGTCTGTCAATTGCTGCTGGCGCTGATGTGAATGATTCAGAATTCAGAAGTACATACTGAAAGTATCCAGAAATTGAGCTGATACTGGCAGTCCAAACTCCTAGTTGTTCCGAAATCGCAGACCGCAGCGCAATATCAGGAATGCAACATTAACGCCCATTGAGAGTCCGCCAAATCCAGGACCATGCCGGGCTGCACGTTGCCTCCCTTGACCATGCCTGGACTTCAAGCAAAAAGAATCCAGGGGCACGCCTGACTGATACTCTCCCTATGATCCGTCATTGATCACTGACCTTGAAACTGTATGCCTGTATCAACGAGGGGATGCCCTGAATGATTGTGACTGCCCCATGCATCCAACTGCTTCAAGCCATTACAGCTACAGCACGCTAGGCTCTAGAATGCGCAGACAAAGCGGGCCACGACTCTTTCGAGCTGGCTTGGCCTTGTGATGGCCCGGTAGGCGTGGCAGTGGTGGTAGGAAGCATCACACTCCAACACGTGCCGATCGGCCCCACCTTTGTGCAGCTGCACCACGAAGGCGTTCTCCGGCAGCACCGGCTGGGCGGGTGCCAGACCTTCCTGAGAACGGGCAGCCATCCCAGAAGTTTTTCTCAGGTTGTCCGAAACTTCTTCTACAGTACGATGCATTTGGACAAGATCAAGCTTCAACTGAAGACTTCTTTGGCTTTGGATCCAGGGACATGCAGTCATCAACGTGCTAAGCTGACGTCACCGCAGGCCTTGACCATCGAACCATCAATCACCGTCTCGTTCTGGGATCCCGCCCAAACGCAGCCTCTCTCGCTCAATATGTATTCATAGTGTTCCCAAGAAACTGACGATGGACTGAGAGTGAGCCTAACCTGCTGCTGCTGCACTCGCTTCTGAGGACTACGGCGACGACAACTACTCATGCTGCTCCTTCGGCTCCTTCTGCTGCTGCTGCTACAACGACGACGACGACGACGGCTGCTTCTACTGCTACTAACTATTACTACGACGACGACTAACAATCCTTGAACTTCTTATAACTCCTCAACATTGAGAAACTACTTGCGCTACTGCCAACATCTCGACAATGTTGAGACTTGTCCCTGCACATGTCGACACTTTTTGACAATGGTGACGACAGGCCGGCCATCAGGTGTCATGGTGATGATCCAGATGACGCCTGTGACATATAGTGACGGCGACGGCAACTATTGCTGTTCCCCTCCCATCCCCTCCCCACGTTCTGATCACAGAAGCGATCGCGACGATTATTCTGAACTTGCAGACACTCTTGCAGTTCTGGTGTGCTTGACTGGGGCCCCCGGCATGCAGCACACGCCATGACCTGCGGGATTGTGCACATGTCGGTATTGAAATGTCAACGCCGAAGTCTGCGAGCACGGAGCTCAGGACAAACCGTTAAAGCTCGATCGCCGGCCTGAATGAGAATGCAGACTTTTTGCGGTGTGCGTTGGGAAGTTCTGTAGAAGTGCGAGGCGCTTTGCTTGCAGCTGAAATGCTGAATGGGCTGCTTCTGCCTACATTGCCAATGCCACGCTGCTATCATTCTTGGCCGAAAGATTCGGAGCGCCGAAATACAAACCCGCGCTGCGAGTCTGTTGCGAGCAAACCGAAAACCCGTCACTCGGCACGGCAAGTCTCGAAGCCTCATGGGAAAGGACCACACAATTGAAAAGCGAAAGCTCAGACACTCCGCTCGAAGCCCGCGTCTGGCCTGACAGAAACCTGACAACAGTAACGAACTGACGTTGAAGCAGCATGTGCCTTTATGCTCTATAGCACAAAAATGCACTTAACCCACTTTCTGCAACACTGTCTGGCATCCTTGTTCAGGGGATGATTGCATGGCCCTCGAAATCGTACCGAAGGAGAACGCCCGATGAAAACTTTTTTGTCTCGCTACTACGGAGCTGCGTCCACGTCCGTGGGATACGAGTACGAGCTATCGCTCCTGAGCACATGCAGTCGGCTTGGGTCTTAGCGCTGAGTGAGAGAGGGACGAATGTGCTCTGATGACCGATTACGGCGACGTTAGTACTAATACTTCTACTACCACCAGCACGAGTGCTGGTACTGGTGCTGTTGCTGGTGCCACTACTGTCACTACTACGACGATATTGCTGCTGCTAGTGCTGCTAATACTACTGCGACTGCTACTGATGCTACGTTTAGTACTACCGGTACTGCGTACTGCTACTGCTACGACGGTTACAACTACTGCTGCTACTGCTGATGCTTACTACTTCTTCTTCCTATAATGCGACGAAGACGACGACGACAGACGACTACTTACTACTAATACTACTAGCACCACGACTACTACAGTCAGTACTACTACGACTACGACGACGACTACTACTACCACCAGTATACAAGCTACAGCTGCAACCGCCGCCACCAGCACCGCGACGACGACCACATACGAACCACGACAACTACTGCTGCTGCTACTGCCAGTGCTACTGCCACTACCACTGCCATCGCCGCCACCGCCACGACTACGACCACGACCACGACGACGACCACGCTGTGAACTACTGCAAGTGCATATACAGAATTGAAAACGCAAAGACACACAGCAGAGAGAAAAAGAGATCTATGTAAACATAACTATACAACAGCCCGATTCTCGGTTTGTGCATACAAATTATCTGAAGCATGGCGTGAACACTTCTTGCCATCATGCGCAGTCACATCATCACTGAAGTACACAACACACTTAGGAACGAGAGCACCGACTGTAACAACACGGCAACTAAGTTGCTGTAACAACTACCACGTGGTACCAACCCTGACAAATGATAAAGATCGCAACCTGCTGCTTCCTGTGCATGCAAAATGGTCGTGGCAGTTGTGAACATCGTCGTGCTCGTGGTCATCGCCATCGGTGGGCAGCGATCGTGGCGCCAACAGCCACACTAGCAATGTGCCAGCCGCAGTCCGGAGGCGTGCTGGTGACACCGACAACCATCATCAACACCACCACCATCACAACACACGATCAGTAGACATCAGTAGGAAAGCAATGCAGGCCAGGCGCGAGGATAAGCTCGGATCAGATCTCCGGGATCGACAGCCTAGCTTCCGGAGACAGCGGCTGTGCAAGGCTAGTGCAATGGCTCAAGCGTTGAAAAAAACAAGCCTAAAACAAAAACATAGTTCTTTTATAGCATGTCAGTATGGACCAAACCCGGTACACATAAGACTTAAGATGCATGCGAATGTGTGCATGCCTCACCAAGCCCAGCAATTGCTTGGACCGTCGACCCCATAGCCCCCTAGGCCCGTAGGTCCCAAACAATCTCAGGAAGGCATCAGCTGCTCCCGCACTCTCCGAGGTCGCAACGCTTTCGCCGTCCCTGTCCTGGAAAGCAGAAGCAAGGGCGCTCGACCGGAACGAACCCGTGCCGTCAGTAAGCTCCTGAACTTCTCTCCAACGCGTGAGCCCGCTCCTGGCCGCAACGGCACAGCACCGCCCCGCCCGCCGCAAGCCTGGCGAGACTTGTGCAGCTCCCACCAAGTCCTTTGGACCCCCTCCAGGCGCTTTTACTAGCCTGCGGCAAAGCCACCTGTCCACACCTGCCCTATCTTCAGTCCCTGTATACATAACCCTACTCGGCCCTCACTTGTGCAGCTGCATCACTCGTAGGCCGGTTGAGCCTTACCCACTTACCCTTTTCTGAGCAGGGACTGCAATGCAAAGAACCGAAGCCCAGAGTGAGTAAGTGTCTTGCCACAAAACTCCAGAGACTTGTTCACTGCTTTGCGTCACCATGCGCTCACTCTCATGCACTCGCTGAGAAGGCTCGAAGGGTTCTTCAGAGCTGGGAGAGCCCCTGGCGAAAGATGCTCCCGGATTTTGGAGACACGGAGACGCGGATGTAAAATCCATGCTGGGGAAGGCGCTCTGCCCGCCGAGAAGACCTTCTCTGGCATCTGTTGCCTGGGACTCTGCTCTGGGGCCTGGGGCGTAGCAGCTGCGGGTGGAGGCTTGAGCGTTAACTCCTGCTTCCGGCGTATGAAACCCAAACTGCAGGAAAGTCCATGCGAGAAGCCCCCCAACCACAGCCCTCTTGGGAGCATGCCGCATGTAGCGATCACCTGGCAATCTTCATGGGCATCTTCAAAAGGCTGCAGGAGACAGACCGTCATATCCGGAATCAAGCTTCGAAGCTTTGACGACAGAAGCACAACAGACGAGCGCCACCGACCTTAATACGGAAAATTGGAATCGCGCGGGGAACAAGAAGTCACAAATCTTGACTGCCACAGCCACGACCCATACAACGGAAGCCGTGCTTGTATTTTGAACCCTTGAGCCCTCTACACCTCTAGACTCTAGGCCCTGAAGCCCAGGAGCCTGCACAGAGGTCTACCGTCTCACCGAAGTGCCGCTCCAAAGAGCTCTGGAAGGTGGGACTTCGCAGCAGCCTAGCAGAAACCCTAAACCCAGAGCGTCGAAAAGCCCCTAAAATCCCTGTTGACCCTCAGCTCTAACTCGGAGATGGTCAGATGTTGAGGCGGAGCTTAGGAACAAGATCTTGACAAAGACTGCCGTCTAGCCATGTGTTTGTTCTTCGCTTTTGCTTCTCACAAGTTGCTTTGGTCACGCTCTTGCAACATTTCCTTTGCAACGTTGTATTAGCGACAGAGGTTGCATGTCTGCCCAGAATATTATGTACATAAGAAAAGTACTCTCACTGCATTTCATATGAGAAACGCAGATGTGCGAAGACATTCACCAACTACGACCCCCAACACCAGCAAACATAAACGGCATGGCCCAATGACAATGAACAATGAAGCAACGACATGTATCCTGCATGTACGGGTATAATCCAAGAAAGCACTTGTTGGTACTGACATCTCTGAAGCACATGCAGCCTCTAAGAGCATGGGTGGACAAATGTATGTGCGCACACTTTATTATAAGTGCGCGTGACTGCATGTATGCGCACAATTACTGTACACTGTGCTTGTGTTTCTTGTTGCATGTCGCCTGCTTTTCATCACGCTTCGCTCGATTGAGCCGCACTCTGTTGTGCGCTGAAGAGCTTGCTTTGTCAGGGAGTCGTCGGTAGCGAGCAATGAGACTGCAATATGATGCATCCCGTTTGTCGCTAACTGTAGAACTCTTCTTCTAGCTTGTGATGTGGATCAGTGTGCCTGATGGGCGGCATGACCTCTCGAAAATCATACAACCAATCTCGCATCCTGACGCTGCCTTGCACCAATGGCATTGACCTGTGACATGTAAGCAGCTCCTGTAGTTGGCGACTTCATTGAGTTTATTGATAGTCTCGGCAAGCCCGTGCACGTAGCTGCGTGCTCGTCCGAATGTAGTGCAACTTTACCGGTTTTCCTGCCTGCACTTGCACAGAACAGGCAACTCCTGATTCTGTGTGAGTCGGAGGCGTCGGGTTCCCGTGAGTCCCAAAGCAAAGCCCCAAGCCTGGAGCGCAGCTGCTCCCAGAGAGGAGGTGCCTGTTCGGCTCTCGACTGTGCTCCCATCCTCCTAATTAATGATTCATCAGGCACATCATTGCACCATCTCATCACACCAGGTGGACCCCGAAATTGACAATCTCCACACCCGGAACGCGTCCTGCGCCTTCGGCTGATGAAACTCGAGGTGATAAAGTGCTCTGGACATGACAGACTGCCAGTAGAGTAAGAGCGAAAAACCATGGACTCGAACCTCGGCGCGTGGCACGGTCCGGAGGTGCACCGCAGCAACACCTCATCCAGCGAAGCTGCGTGCTGATCAAGCCCATGGAAAAGTTACGGTATACTGGTAGCGTGTGATATGTTGCGAGTACAGTACTGTGAAATGTTGGACCTCTCCCATGACATGTGGACCCCAAACCTAGACATTGGACCCTGCACACTGCTGAGGCCTCCCTGTTGCAACTGATCCGCTGCATCCTGACGCAGGCCGACAGCTATGCAGACTGCGTCTCTAAGGTTTCCAACGAGGTCTCTCTTTCTCCAACTATAACCGACAGTCTACATGACCGAGTTGCGGGTGCGTGCATGTGAAATAAACCTGGCATACAGCAAGAACATCCATTCGCCGTCCATCGCATCGCACCAGCCAGTCTCTTCTCTCTACACTGACCCCCCACACAACGCGGAGACCCTTCTCGGACATGGCCTCGAGCTGATCCAGGCAGTCGTCCTCAAGGACTTGCCATGCTTGAAAGCTTACGCTCTCACATCTTGGACTTGTCAGAGTTTGGCGTTGAAGGCTTCAGGCCCGTTGCTGCGTGCTTCTGCAATCGATGTTGGCTTTGCCTCCTTTGCAATTGCCGCCACTTGAGACTTCTTCTTCTGTGCTGTGCGAACTCTGGAATTTTTTTTTGTTCACGTTTTGGGGGCTCTGCGCGTTGCAAGCGGCCAGAGGTCGTGGGATCTGCCGTCCTGCTGCTTGATGTCGTAAGTTTTTGAAACCGCTTCCAAGTCTGTGCTCTATGATGCTAAACTAGTTGCCCTTGCTGGCTCACCGATGCTGCGCTCCGAAAGTCTTGCGAAGAAATGCTGCGCTTTTGGCAAAATACACGTCCCGCACAACTCCTGGGAAGCTTCTGTACCCCACCCAACAGCAGTGAAACAGCCAGCTGCCAAGAGATATGTGCGAAAGAGCGCACGGCATACATGCAGGCCTTGTCTACGACAACCGCATGAAGTGCACGTGAGCAGTCGCAGGCAGTCGCAGAGCCTCACACCAAGACCTCGACCTCTGCTCCAGAGCACTTACACTGACCGTTGTAGTAGCCCATCGACTTGAAGGTGCAGTGGAAGGTCTTGTTCAGGATCAGGCCTGCCACGGCATTATACGAGAAGCAGAGCGCGTCAGGGGTCTGAACCTGCTTGTCGGTCTCGATGTTGGTGGCCAGGGCTATGGAGATATTGAGCTCGGGGAAGAAGCCCACGATGGATTGATATCCGTACGTGGCACCCAAATGGCCATAGCCAACTCCTAGCTTGCCGGACTGCCCGGTTGAAAAGAGCCCAACGTTGAAGGCGCCGAGTCCGTAGATGTGCATGCGTTGAGGGATCATTTGATCTATCAGCTCCTTGGGAGCCACGCTGCTTGGAGGCCCCCAAATCTCCCATGCCAGGTCCGCAATCTGCGCCGAGGTTGCTACCACGTTGCTGGCCGTCCAGCCCGCAAAGACGCCATCGACTTGCCAATTGTTGTGGTTGCTCAAATTCCCTGGCTGCCGATTGTAAGAAGTTCGATCGTAGCCTGGCACCGCACCGATGTCCTTCGGGGTGCCCTTATTTGCGAAGCGGATCTGCCCTTGAAGGTACTCAGGCAAGAACTTGGTCTGGTTGAGGTCTGACCAGTGCTCGACACCGGCATGCTGGGCTAGCGCGAAGCCCAACAACATGTAGTTGGTGCTGCTGTAGCAGAACTTCCCGAAAATGATGCGGGAGCTGCACTCCTTGGTGTGTCCAGCCACCCAGGGCACGCTCATCAGCTCCGCAGGCTCGTAGAAATGGTCTGCCTGACGATAAAGCTCAGCCCGCAGAGGGTCCTGGGATTTGCCCTGGGCTTGCTGCGCCGTATCGAAATCAGGTATGGAAGACATCATGCCCAACAGCTCCCGAAGGGTGGTTTTCGCAGCATTCACGCCCCAGAGTTCTTCCACACTAGTGAAGTTCTGCTTCGGGTCCTTTGCTGCCATCCTTGCAAGTACGGAGTCCACCAACGGGGCGATCTCATCGTCCAATCGAAAGAAGCCTCCTGCGACCAGTTTCATGACTGATGCGGCGGTGAACATCTTCGTCACGCTTCCCCAAGGGTACAAGTCTGTCGCCGCTGCCTTCTGGCTTGCCTCGAAGTTGACAATGCCGTCGGCTGCCTGCGCGGACCCGACTGGCGTCCGAACCTCGGCTGGAGTTTCGAAAAAGGTTTTGGCCAGCGCCGGGTTTCTGGGGGCTGTATCACTCGGATGGTGCTTCGACGTACACGGCTGGACCAGAATGTAAGCCTGCAGTGGAGTTGCATGGAGCACCCGAACACCAAACATTCACAAGCAGATACAAAGGGAGCACATGCTACGGGACACACAATCTTCATCGGCCGCGGATCCCCTGGCCCTGAAAAGTTCCAGCTGCAGGAATCCGAGGTTGGTTCCGCAGTCGACTGTGGAAAGAACGAACATTTGGCGATGATGGCGACAATCCCGATGATGCTGGTGACGATGGTGATGCTACCGATGGTGCTGGTGCTACTTGCCTCTACAGACCTTGTACAAACGTTTCTGCAGTGCCTGTGCGCTTGCTGTGGTTCCGACGTCCCTCAACAACCACAAGACAGGAGACTCTGACGCAAAACATGTCCGATTGCCAAACCTGATTACCAAGAGCAAGATGCGGCAATGCTCACCGAGCAGTTGTACTCAGCACTCTTCGATCTGGCCACCTTGACTCGACTCGGCACTTGTCATGTCACACAGATAGCCCGTTGTATGAACCTAAATCAAAGTGCCGCAATCCTGTGGGCGGACATATCCGAGCAGCCCTAAGCAAGTTGAGGCAAAGCAATGGGCAACGAATTTCGATTAAGAATCTCCTGACCCAAACCCGATATCTGATGTTAACCCGTCCTCGGCCAAGGCAGATTGCAAAGCCTCTGGAGAAACCGCCGTGCACACTGCTGCCAGCAAAAACACGGCCGACCCTCTCCATGTCATTGCCATCAAACTCACCGCACGAACACGCCGGGCTGAGCACGTCAATGTGAGCCAACACTTTGCAGGGAGACATGGTTGGTGTGGGTTGCCCTTCACCATGCAAACTACTCATGATTAACCACAACTTTGGAATGGTACATTCATGCACATGCCACCGGACCCTTGACAGGATTCATCCGCGAGGCAACCCAAAATGTTCGCCTCGATATGATTTTGACATGAATTAGTTTTGGGAATTCCTGACCATGCACTGTTTACCGCTCTTCCCATCTGATGCCGGATGATGCTGGCCTGTCCAACGTCCTTATGCCGATGTGTGCGAAACACGTTTCGAGCAAAGGCTGCCAATCGTTGTGCAAATCTGTGCTTTGTTGGGCTCACATCGATTGAGGCAACAACAGCACCTTAAGGTCATGAACGAAATAAATGTGTTGGAACCACTGTACCCTCTCCAACCTTCGTATCTCGGAAAGATCTCGGGCTCATGGAGTAGGTTCCCAAGGAGTACTCGCCTGGCGCTCGAGCGGTGGAGCATCTCGCTGCTTTGTGAGATATGTGCCCGGCACGATATCTGTCCTGGCTCTACTCTTGTTATCGTACCAACATGCAAAACCTCAGCCGTTACGATGCTCAGAGACTCAGAGCGGGCCCTCAGCATCATCGGTGTGCAGGAAGTGCTTGACTTGGTCCGGGTGGAAGGTCACGAAGGACTCGTAGACTCCAATGCACATCTCCTCTTGTTGCAAGACTCTCGTTGCCTCATGACAACTCGCCCACTCAGCAAGTCAGCCATGCCCACCGCCGGGCCGCCGGGTCCCTTAATTGTGCCTCGGACACGCAGAGGACGGTGTGAGCAACACCCCCGCTGAAGATGTAGACCTGGGGCTCAAAGCGGAAGAAGCACCAAAAAGAGTGCCTCCATGCGAGAAGCACCAACGTCCCCAAGAGCGCCTCCATGCGCAAACCGGGCCCTGGCTCAGCCGCTCAGCCCCGCACGTCGCCCGGCCGCAGCAGCGCCACCTTTGCGGCCTTCTGAAGAGCCTCGCCGAGCTGGGAGGAGCAGGCCCGAGCAGAAACCCCAAGCCCAACTCTAAAATGCTGCGGTGCCGAAAATTGAAAGGCAAAAGCATTCGTGAAGCAATAGCGGGAGCTCTGGAACACGAAGGACTGCATCGACGTGAAGCAAAACACAAAGTTATTTTCAGGAACCAGTCCGCTAAATGCGACGCAATCAACACACCCGACACGAAACCCTAGTTCACAAAAGCTCTAATATGTTCCGACGCAAAATCGTCCCATCACACACCGGTGTGAGCAAGTGATGCATGAGTGCATCACGGCACAATCCAGGAACATGAATGGATGAATGAGCGATGTTGCCTGAATTACATCAGCCTCAGTTAAAGGTCTGCTACTGGCAAAGACAGTGCGTAGTTTGGGTGCTCTGGCCTGAAGCTCTCGTGGCTGAAGCGGGGGCACGAAAAGCCTGCGTGCACCATCGACGAGTTCTCAGGAATCCGACCTTTGGATACTTTTCGGGGAAGTTGGTGAGGATTCAGGCGGCAAGCACACAAACACCAACCCAACCACCACCATGAAAATGAAGAATCTTCCTCTTGTCGCACACGCTCAATGAAGTCAAGGTGTGCGTCTGCCAAGTACTGTATGGCCGGAGCACACATCATAGAATTCCAAGGCCACCTGCAACAAGAGGTGTCCAAGATCTTTATCTATCATGGATCTACCAGAGTGTTTCTTTGGGTTGATGCTAGGCCGGCTTCTGCTATCCTACTACTCATTCTACTGCCTGAAGGACTCGGATACGTGTGACCTTGCTGAGTATCTTATACCGGTATATACCGGTCTAGCATCATCCAGCACTGGTGCAGTGAAGGCCTGTTTGCTGCATTCACCCTTGGGCCATGCAGCCGCGAGCTTGTAGCCCTGCCACGCGGTGGCGTCAGGGCTGTTGCTCACCGAACAAGCTCGCATTGCAGAGGTAAGCTCTGGGGCTGAGTTCTTGCGTGTTGGTGATGCACTAATAGACTCGTGCGATTCCACGGCAAACGAAACATCTGATGCACGGCACCAAACAACTGGTGAGTTCGTCCTTTTGGTGGGTATGAACTCGACCTGCTAAACTATTGGGGCCTGGTGGCCCGAGCAAGCATCAACCAGTTTTTCACCCCAAAATCCCATGCCAGATGCTACTTCATCCCGGTGGCAAACACAGCCCGAAGAAACTCTAAGGCCATACAAATAGCTCCACGGCCTTGTAGTTCCGTCCCACATTGCTCCACAACACCTGGCCAAAGAAAAAACTGAAGCTAACCACGAACCATGCCCGTCCAGATCATGCGCACCTCCCACCTGATCCACGTGAAGGCCTTTGCCGCTGAATCTGCCGCCAGCAAAGAAACCTTCGTCGTAACCTGGCCAGAGGGGTTCCCAGATCACAAAACCAATGCTTTCCGAATCCAGGGCAGCGGCGATCCCAGTATAGCCTTCAGTATCTCATTGACTTCGTATCACAAAGCATACCTTCACGGAAATGTCTGTCGCGAGTTGGGGTCGCGACGTCCAGCTCACCAAGGGCCCAAGCACGTCCTCCATCGTTGCTTCTTCGTAGCATGTTTCGGTGGCAGATTCCACAATGCACATCTCATCCACATTGCACATCGACACTGATCTGGGAAGTGGGCTTTGACGTCTCGTTGGCAAATCGTCTTGACCTGATGCACAGGGCCAGGGGCGTGAAAATGATTCTCACGAATGCTAATGCGATGCAGCGGCCGGGAACTCACAGATGCTATCCAATTACGACCCCCGCGAATCGTCAGGCGGAGCCTTTTCACCACCAATTGGATGCGGTGCTTCTTGCTTTAACCTGCGCGATGCTCAACAGCATAACAAGCTGCCGCGACACCACTGTGTGTATGATTTTAAGCATGTGCCGCTTGGCTCGAAGTGCTGGTGGGGCCCGATGGGCTCGGAAGTGCGATGCGCTTGGAACGCCCGCCATCCAAAGGGTCCTGGCCATTTTTACCGGTTAGGTCGCCTGGCCCATGGGGAGCAGGCGTGCGCCCAGAGTGTTGCCTGCGACGCGCAGGCCCGCTGGCGCACCACGGCACGCTCTGGCGAGCAAATCACCGCGTGTGTCGCCCACCTCGCCACGGGGAAGCCCTGGAGCGCAAACGACGGCTACCGGACAGCCACTCAGCAACCCGGCCGCCGTTCGAGTATCGTGCCAGCGGTCAGCCCCCCTAAGTTGTCTGTGATGGGGCAAGGAAGTACGGGGACTGGGATGCCCATTTGTAGGTTGCACAATGGAAATGTTTTTTTTCCCCCCGCACACCTTTTTACATCCGCCCAACGTGTCCGACCGTCGGCACCTACCTAGACGCCTACAGGGCGCTAGCGAAGCGGCAGCCGACTGGGGGCGCTCGCTATCGCGAGGTCCAACACGTCACCCAGCGTGCGCGCGTCTGGCGCACCAGGCAGCGGCGGCATGGACCAGACCCCAAGCGCGGAGCTGGCAACGGCTCTGTGCAGGGCAACCGACGGCACACTCCACCAGCGGCGCGCCCAGCCCTGGGTGGCAAAGGCACGCAAGGGTGGTGGGGCGCGTTGGACACGAAGCCGCAGTAGGGTGCGGAGGAACTGCGTGTACTCGACAATCCACCGACCCCCGACTTCAGCTGCGAGGACTACGAGTCGTTGAGGTCCTCCTCGGGTCAACTCCGGGTAGCGCGCGACCTTGCGTCGGCGCGCTGCGACAAGCGCCGTTCCCGCCCGCGCGTCAGCACCGTGGGCGGGGCGGCCAGCGGCGCGAGTCAGGGGGGAGACGAGGGTTGCGTCGCGGCATGTCGCGGCACAAGGCTTCGCCGTTACTCGTTGCCCCGTAGACAACGAAGTCGAGGCGGCGATGGTCGTCGGCGTGCACCTGCGGCGGGGTTGTGCGCGACAGCCAGTGTTGCGGCATGACCCGACCTTCCGGACCCACCGCCTCGCGAGCGACCTGAACCCGTGCCTTTCAATGTCGAAACCACGCCGTGCGGGGGCAGGAGGGGTGGTGGTCCCCGTATGCATCAACCTGAGCCCCACAGCCGTGTCTGCCTTCCGCGCCACAGTTCAGTGTCGTGAGGGGCAAGGGCAGCCTAAGGCGGCGCCTCCTTGCGACGTGCATCAGGTCGGGCGGAAATATTTTTACATACCTGCACACGGTCTTGATGCATCTAGCGAAGAACCGCCATTTTTGACTAATCTGGCGCTGAAATATAAGTAAATATATATATATATATATATATATTATAAATAAAAAAAAATATATATATACATATTTATATATACATATATATATATATATATATATATCTATCTATCTATTTCTATATATTGGTGCTCGCGAGGTGGTGCCTGATCGTGCTGACTGCCTTGCAGAAAATGGCTGCGGACAGATCAGGCAACATGCAAAGCAAGCAAGTGCACCACAGCCTGCATGCAAGACCCGTGTGGCTAGCGGGACGCAGTGACCAAGCGGTTGCGGCGACGACGTGGCTGAGTCGACGTTGGGGTCGCCGGGGCGGCCGGTGCAGGAGTGGCTAAAGCCTCTGCAAGAGCTGCCGGGGAAAGGCCGGCGCTCGCGGCGAGGGCAGGGCGTGCAGCTCGTCGCGACTACCCAAAGCAACGCAGCGCAGCACCTGCACAGCCGCGTCGGCGCGGGCGTGGACCGAGTCCTGGGGTGAGCGCTCGGGCCGAACAAGTGGGCCAGGCGCCGCGCCTGCATGCCGGGCGGCGAAGAGCACGCACGCGAGCACCACGGGACACAGCAGCGCTCCAATATATATATATATATATGTGTGTGTGTGTGTGTGTGTATATATATATATATATTTATTTATATATATATATATATTTTTTTTTTATTTGTTTATTTATATTTATTTATTTATTTATTTGTTTATTTCCTACGCCCACCAGCAATGCACTTCGGACTGGCAAAGTAAACACAGCACTGCATCGTAGCCAAAACGATGACCAGGTGGTCTGCCAGTTGCCTGCATTTCAGTGCTGGTCATCAACCCTGCGTCCCGAGCCCTGCTGCTTTCGCAAGCTGGACCCCACTCAGGCCGAGCCCTCAAAGCCTTCCCCACGTCAGCAACAGCCGCCATACCTCTCGCGAACACCTCCGGTTGCTCTTGCTGCGACGCCTGCGTCTGCCGCTCCCCCTGGCGCCACGCGTCTGCCGCTGCCGCGGCCGCCTCGACCCGCTGGGTGACCACCGCTCGGCGTGTGCTACGTCCGGTGTCTTGGCGTCGCGAGCCCTTCCGCGAGCATGCCGTCGCCTGTGTGTCGGGAGGGAGGTGCGCGCGTTGCACGCAACGTCCGGGTCGCCGGCATGAACATCGACGTCCCTGTGAGTGACGCGCGGAGCATAAAGGTCGCCCACGGCCTACCCCTCAGGCACGGAGCGCAGCTCGCGCTCGATGCCACAATCGTCAGTCCGGTCACGCGAGCCGGCGAGCCGCAGCCGGGCGCCGACACCCGCCCTGGCGCGGCCGTCC